TATAAATAATGCCCCAGTGAGTATGGGGGTGCAGATATCTTTTTGAAGTAGTTATTTTATTTCATTTGGATAAATAGGGTAGAATTGGTGGATAATTTGGTAGTTCTATTTTTTGAGAAACTTCCATACTGTTTTCCACAGTGATGGAACCAATTTATAGTCCCATCAACAGTGCACAGGTGTTCCTCACCAACACTTGTTATTTTCTGTTTTTTCGACAATACCATTCCAACAAGTATGTGTGTGTGTGAGGTGATATCTCATTGTGGTTTTCATTTGCCTTTCCTTGTTGAGTGATTTTCATGTATCTGTTGATTCTTCGTATGTCTTCTTTGGAAAAATGTCTGTGCAGATCCTCTGCTCATTTTTAATTATTCTTTTTTTTTTTTTAATTGAGTTATGTGAGTTTTTATACATTTTAGAGATTGCATTTTCTCAACTCCACAAAGGCAGGCCTGCTACGGAGAACCTGGTATTTATTTTCTCCAGGGCGTTGCCTGAAGTGTGCAAGTGCCTAAAGTGTTCAAGGTATGCACATTTTGCCACTCAATAGAGTGGAGCCAATTATACATGTGTGCTTGTGCAAGACCTGTAGAAACTCAAGGGTACTGTCTGCAGGGGTGTGTTTGGGGTATTGGCTATATGGGGGAGGGATTTATGAATTGATGACAGCATGCGTATGCTAGCTTAGGTGAATCTACTTCATCCTATCAAGATTATGGGTGGGCTTCTTGTTGAAGTTCCTGAGGTAGTTAGTAGAAACCTTTGCCCTTCTTGGGTTTTGTACCCTGGTTGCTGAGAACTGTGTTTTCTCTCCCCTGCCGATCCCATGATTGTTTTGGATGGCGAGAAAAAGAAGTGGGCTTCTTGGGCCCCTGCTTGGGTGGACACTATTCACCTACTAGGCTCTCTCTTTGCTCATGGGTGAAACAGCAGCTTGAAGTTTCTCTTGGCAGTGAGCTGTTGCCTTGGGGCAGGTGAAGTGATAACGCTACTGTTACTAATTGCTTCAGTCCTGTTCTTGGAATTTTTGCTCTAAGTCGGGCTAGGACTTCTCTGCTGGACTGCTGGGCTCTCACAGATATACTCCTGTCTCCAAGTAGTTGACAAAATCACTGCTTCTGTGGGAGCACCATGGCGGTGTTGACTGAAAAAATAACGCACAACGTAAAAGTTGAGAATTATGTTTTGTTTGGTGGACAAGTCTAAGGACTTAGGCCCAAGACACAGCATCTCAGATAACTCTGAGAGACTGCTCCAGAAAGGCAAGAGAGAAGCCAGGTTTATAGGCGTTTTTGCAGCCAAGTCCATGTAGTCAGAACATCAGAAGATTACTGTTACTTAAGGAAAACCAGACATCTCAGGTTAAGGAACTTAGCAGTGTTTTCTATGTATGAAAAGATACAAAGTCTAGGCTCACAGAAATCATTCCTTTGAGATGCACCTCAGCTCTCTGGGGCCAGTCTCTTGTGCTTCTCGTCCTGAATCTGCTCAGGGTGCTCTGTCCAGGGTGGCCTCGCTGGTGGGCGTTCTGTTTCCATTCTGAGTTTCCTCGGGGCTCACCATCGGGGCTGCAGTGTGACTGCTCGACGGCTGCGGCATTTTTTTTTTTACTGATGTGACAGGCAGTATTTTTTTTCTCAGCAGGAAAGTCTTTCTCCAGCACCTTGATAATCACTCTCCCCTGTGTCTTCTTATTCTGGCTTATTAAAAAATTCAACATTTTCATATGCCATCCCATGGCCTTTTGGTCTTTAGTGAGATATTTATCTTACTGGGTTCTCTTGTGTGCAGAGAACCTTCTTTCTCTTGCTATTTGCAGGATTTTATCTTAGACTTTCAATATTTTTCCTATTGTATATCTGAATGTGGTTCTTTCTGTACTTTTTCCTTACTTGCAGTTTGTTGAGCTGCTTTGATATGTATGCTAATGTTTTTCATCAAATTTAGGAAGTTGTCAGTCATTATTTCTCAAACAATTTTTTACCTCTTCCCCCTCTACCTTAGAACTCCCAGTAAATGCATGCTCTTGCTGTTAATGGTGGTGTATATTTCTCATAGACTGTTCATTTTCCTCTCTGTTTTTGGAATTGCAGAATCTCTACTGATTTATCTACTGGTCCACTGATTTTTTTCTTTTACCTGCTGAAATATGCTATTGAGTCTCTCTGCTAAGTTTTAAAATTTCAATTTTCTACTTTTTGACTCCAAATGTTTCTTTTCCTGGTTATTCTTCTTTGTTGATGCTTTATATTTAATAAGACATTGTTATACTTCTTTAAATTTTGTTTTCTTTGAGTCTTTTTAATAGCTGCTTTGGAATCTTTTTTTGTTTCATCTGGCATCTGAGTTCTCTCAAAGGTAGTTCTGTTGCTTGCTTTTATTCCTGTATATGGTATGGGTCACACTTACCTGTTTCATTGCACATGGTAATTTTCCCTGAAAGCCAGGCATTTTAGGCAATACATTGTGGCAACTCTGGATCCTGACTTTTCCTCCTCCCTGAGACTGCTGTAATTTCATTTGTTTAGGGACTTGGCTGAATTCTTTTAGTGAAGTCTCTTTCTTTCTCCACATGCATCCTCTGATGTTCCTCTTCAGATGGTGCAGGCTGGGGAGGCACATAGTTACCTTGGGATGATCGGGATTTTAGCAGTTCTTTGACTTTTTCCTCTGAGCTTTGTTAAGCTCTCTGCCTCTGTTTGTATCACCCTCACCCCCTAGCCTCCACTAATTGCCAACTGATAGCTCTGTTATTTTCAGCAAAACTCTGTGGGCATGAATTTCTTCACGGTCTGAATTGCATTTTATACCTACAGCGGTAGTCTTTGAGGCCAGTCATTGATGTTCTGACCTCAGTAAGGCTCTTCTTAGCTGTCTTTCCCCATGATTCTCTCTGATAAACTTCTGGTTGGTCTATGTTTTAGCTTATTGTTCTCAGGTAGATACATGATAAACAACCTCCATTGTTTCTAAGAGTGCCTTTAAAGCTTGAAGCTTGCTGCCCTGTACCAAATGAGGTCAGGTTCCCTTGGGAGAGCTTTGGACCGACCTTTCCTTTTCATAGGTTGCCTCTCCCTGTGGAGGATAACCTCTCTGTGATTGCTTTGGAAATGTAGGTGGGGGTCCGTAGCTTGTTCTTTCAGTGACACTCCTGTGTTATGTGCATTGGATATTGATGGTAGCCTTTGCTGTTCTCAGCCTTCCTCTTTTATCTTGGAACTGCTGCCCTGTGAATTAGGGGTGAAGATTTTTGGGCCCTCATGTTCTTAACGTGCGTGGGAGGCCTGGTGTATAGCTTCCATCCTGTGAGTGGGAGCAAGGTAAAGAATAAGCACTCAGACCTCTCATGCTTTCCCCTGAATAGAGCTTCTGCCACCAAGAGTTAGGGGGCATGAGAAGTACTGGCAATCTGTTGCTCCTGAACTAGGAACTGAGGGATACAGGAGTATTCTGTCTCAACCGTACCAGCCTGGTGTTGAGCAGTCTTGCGGAACAGGTTGTGTATGTATGGGGAGGTGGTGGTAATGGGAAGAATGAGAGTTGGTAATGAGTCAGATATCATGGACTGTTGCTGTTCTTGCTGAAATTTAGTTGATGTTCCTGGGTGATTATTTCTTTATTTGTTGTTGCTCTTAGCAAAAGTTTTTGAGATCCAAAAAAGACTTTTTTTAAAAAATAATTTTTACCAATTATAGTTCTTTCCCTGGGGAGGTTGTTTATGGATCTCCTTATATTGCCATTCTGGAGGTCAGTTCCAGTAAGCATTTGTTGTTGTTCAGTCCTTTAGTCATGTCCAACTCTTTGCAACCCCGTGGACTGCAGCACACCAGGCTTCCCTGTCCTTCACCATCTCCTGGAGTTTGCTCAAACTCCTGTCCATTGAGTGGTATTAAATCTAAGGCTTTTAAGATACTATATTTGCCTTACTAACTGTACCATACATGTTAACTGTGTTTATATTATGATTCTTTGTACTAGGGATTTATTTATAAAGTATTGACTCGTATTGTCCTGAACCGTTGATATATATTAGTTCATTCAGGTAAAATATACTTGTGAACATATATTTATAGTTTTTCTCTCAGAATTACACTGTAATTAATTAAAAGAACATTTATATTAATTTTATTGTTTCTCAAAAATGCATTGAGATTTTCAGTTATACATAATATAGATACACCTCAAAAATAATCTTAAGCAAGAGAACATGAATACAAATGAATACCAACTATGTCATTCCATTTTGTAAAGTACAAAGACAGCCATCTAGATTTTGCTGTTAGAATCAGAATAGTGGTAATTTTTTATTTTTTGGTCTTAGTACTGGTTACTTAGTTGTGTTCATCTTGTGGAAATTCATTGGGTTTTAGACTTATGATATGTGCACTTTTATGTATATATTTATGAGTTAAAAACATTTTATTGGATCCATATGAGTCATATAGTTTTAACTGCATACTGTCTAAATTTATTACATTTAGCTATTTACTTACTTTAGTATTTAAAACTGATGATAAGTCGGTCCTCTAGTTTAAAGGAAATTTGTTTCCTACTTTTATAAATAAAAACAAAATGCAAAATATAAATTATTATGAAATCATTAATGATTATGTTTAATATTGTGTTTCCTCAAAGCATTTTAAGGTACTCTGAATCTCAAAGTATTTTCTAAAAATATTGAAGTTTAGAGGCCATTTGTTAAAAATAATAAAGCGTGTTNATAAATAAAAACAAAATGCAAAATATAAATTATTATGAAATCATTAATGATTATGTTTAATATTGTGTTTCCTCAAAGCATTTTAAGGTACTCTGAATCTCAAAGTATTTTCTAAAAATATTGAAGTTTAGAGGCCATTTGTTAAAAATAATAAAGCGTGTTACTTTCACAATTCCAAGGAAAATTCTGTATTCAAATTAGATCCTTTCTGTACTTGATATAAGATCAGGGAGGTCTTTTTATCTTTTGTAATACATTTTTAAATTTTATCCTGTAGGACTATTTTGAAAGAAAGTGGGTTTGCCAGATACCTTCATTCAGCTGTTCTTATCAATGGAGCTATGCTTATTTTTGGAGGAAATACCCATAATGACACTTCCCTGAGTAACGGTGCAAAATGTTTTTCTGCCGATTTCCTGGCATATGACATAGGTATGTATCTGTTAGGACTGTACGAAGTAGGAAATACCAGAAATTTTTCATGTAGAGGTTCTCAAATACATTACTAGACAGCATGTGTATATGTCATTTTAGACAGAGAAATTCAGTGACAGATTATTGTATGAAGTAATATGCCAATTTTAAGCTATTAAGGAACATTTTGATAAATAAAAATAAAAGAGACCAAAGAATAACACATTTAATAGATATAAGAAGTATACTTTTGCTCTTAAACATCATAATGGTACATAATCTACTTTGGAAAATTATTTCAAGTGTCAGCATATAAAGAAAATTATGAACTATTAATGAGCACTTTGATTTCTATATTATTGTAAGCATGTTTGGAAAGAAATTCCTAGTAATAAAGTTAGGCATAGTTCTAAAACTCTGTATTTGCATGTGAGTCATCATTGAAAATAATTCACTGTCTTTTAGAGCCTAAATAGTTAAATATCTGCCTTTTTGAAATAATAATTTGAAGTCATGATTCATGATGAAATGGGATTGATTGTCTTGGCTTTTGTAAGGCTTAAAAATCAGTGCCCCAGATCCAGAAAATCAGTTAAATGAAATACAGAATCTAGGCTGGCTAATTATGATCTGTCATTGCCAAGCTGGCGCTATCAGTATATTACTTTGCCTATGGTAATGAGGCATTAGGCTTATTTCTCTGGAGGTGGATGAACATTTTATGTTTCTTTCTTCTAGGAATAAAAATCCTAGGAAAAGTGTAGAATTTTGTTGTTACGGGTAAAAATCCATGAAGTGAGATGTTGAACCTTTGAAAAAGATTCTTCAAGCAGCTTCTACTCAATTTCTATATTTTAATGAGAAAATTAATGTTGATCTATTTTGTAGCTGACATATTGGGAATTTATTTTTATTTCTTCCATATGGTTCAAGATGACCATATTTTAGGTTTTATGCATTTAAAATATACCAAGGTGAAAAACATTAGAAATATAAGTTTTTCAGAGAAAGAAAGGGCTCAGATTATCCTTATTCTAATAGCTACTCTTTATTAAGTCAGTTCCAAGAGCTAGGTAGTATTGTTGCTGTTTAGTTGCTAAGTCATATCTGACACTTTTGTGACCCCTGCCAGGCTCCTCTGTCCAGGGGATTTCCCAGGCAAAAGAATACTGGAGTGGGTTGCTATTTCCTCCTCCAGATCTTCCTGACCCAGGGATTGAACCTGTGTCTCTTGTATTGCAGGGATTTCCTGCTGAGTCACCAGGGAAGCCCTACAATAAGAGCTTTATTTACAATGTCTGTAACCTCTCTAATAACCTTGTAAACAAGATGTTAGTAAGCTCAATTTTAGATCATTAAGCACAAGACTAAAAGGAATTTGTCCAAAGCCCTGCAGGTGGTAAATCCAGGTTTTAAAAAAACTCCTAAATTGGTAGGCTTTCCACTTGACTACACTGTGGTGGTTAGTTGACTCCATGTTCTTAATGTTGACAATAAATTAAGAGACACTTAATTTTTAGTAATGTTTAGTAATTTTTAGTAATGTTTCTTAATGCTATGGAAAAAGTAAAAGTTGCTCAGTTGTGTCCAACACTTTGCAACCCTATGGACTGTGCAGTCCATGGAGTTCTCCAGGGCAGAATACTGGAGTGGGTAGTCTTTCCCTTCTTCAGGGGATCTTCCCAGCACCAGGATCAAACCCAGGTCTCCTGCACTGTGGGCAGATTCTTTACCAGCTGAGCTACAAGGAAAGTCCAAGAATACTGGAGTGGGTAGCCTTTTCCTTCTCCAGGGGATCTTCCTGACCCAGGAATCGAACTAGGGCCTTCTGTATTGCAGACAGATTCTTTACCAGCTGAGCTATCAGGGAAGCCCAATGGTATGGAAAGATAGAAGCAAATATTAGTTTCATTTTTCAAGGAAATTGTTAAAATTGGAGGAATAATAGCACGTTTTAACAGTATTGTTTCTTAACATAGGTTTTTGTTTGCCTTGTGCTAATAAATAACAACAAAAACATAAAACAGCCTTACAATCAATACAGGATAAAAGTATTTTGTTTTGCCTTATTTGATTATTTCTCTGCAGTTACCAATAAAGTCTTCCTCCCCTGCCCAATCTGTATTTATTCTCCTCGGTTTGTATCATCAAATACTGAAATATTTTCTTGGGAAAGTGCTTTTCACATTTCAGAAAATGTCTTCCAAAATAATTGTTTTCCTTATGAAGTATAATTTTGTGGAAATAAAATACAACCATTGCATAATGAACCAACTAGGAAATAGATCCTTTTTGGGAAAAAATTCATGTTGCTAGTTTTTCTCTTTTGTACAGTACACTCAGAGTTTATGGCATATTTAATTGGAATGCACCGTAAGATTTAGTTGATTGCCTTGTGTTCTGTGATGTTTAGACAATAAAAATATGTATGGTAATACTAATTTTTCATTGCTCTAAAATGTACTATTTCAACCGTACTGCCGTAGTAAATTTTATATAGCCAGTATCATTAATCTTTGAGGACATAACCTTGCCTTCCCAGTTCTCATTATACTATACTTGATGGATGTAGAAGGCATATGATGGTGATTTTCAAGCATGACTTACCTTGGCATTCCCTTTGAAGGTTGAAGGGAGAAATATCAGACCTCAATAATCTGATTCTCTTAGGTTAGGCACTGCATATTCATATTTTAAAAAAAAATGACTCAGGCACAAGTGATCATAGAACCAGCCTGATGAATGAGACTCAGTGGGCTCTAACAGATAAAATGATATGTTACTAAATTTTCTAGCTTGTAAATCTAACTTGGACACATTTTACATTTTATTAATTTTTTTTGTCATTGTTAGTGGTATCATTATTGCACCTAATTCAAGACTAAAATGAATCTGTATCTAGTAAAGATACAGCCTTGTAGTACTACTGAGGCTAAAGATGCAATGGAAGAACTTGTCTTACTGAGCTTTTCTGAGGTTATTAGTTACATTTATACTTTAAAAAAAATAATAATTTATTTTTGGCAGTGCTGTGCGGCTTACAGGACCTTGGTTCCCAGACCAGGGAGCAAACCTCTGCCCCTTGTAGTAGAAGCACAGAGTCCTGACCACTGGACTGCCAGGGAATTACCGAGACATAGTTTTACTTTTTGGGACTTCCCAGGTGGCTCAGTGATAGAAAACCTTCTTGCCAAGCAGGAGACATGAGTTTGATCCCTGAGTTGGGAGGATCCCCTGGAGACGGAAATGGTGGCCCTTTCCAGTATTCTTGCCTGAGATGTCCCAGGGACAGAGGAGCCTGGTGGGATGCAGTCCACAGGGTCACAAAGAGGCGGTCACAACTTAGAGGCTAAATTACAACAGCAGCATTTATGCTTTTAAGCTATTTGTCTGTAGAAAGTAAATTGTGTCATAGAAGTTAGTTTTATAGGGTCCATGGGATAAAAGGAATCAAGTAGTTTGTAAATTTTTCATTTTTTTTAAAGTAAACCACCAGTCTTTTGAGGAGTTTGACTGAAGATTTCAACATTTGCAAATGAGAGATTTTCCTGAATTTAAACATACCTTAAAGTTGAATTGAATCTTGGGACATTATTTCAGAATTAGCAAAAAATATCTATTATAGGATTTTCAGTAGGCCTAACATAATTATGATGCTTTTAATCACAAGTGGTGGTTATTATTTTTCAGCTAGAAAACTTATCTAAGATTTAGGAGAATGCATAGAGTTCTGAAACAAGATGCAAGATAACTCAGATACATTGATTAATTTGTTGAGTAGGTTATTTCAGAGTAGGGTGTCAGATTTACATCAGAAATACATCGTGTAAAGTGAATTACCTAAACTTCAAATCAAACCAAAACAATAGCACAATTTAAAAAATATATTTCCTGCATATTACAGTTTTACTTATGCCATTTAACTTATTCAGTTCAGTTCAGTTCACTTGCTCAGTTGTGTCTAACTCTTTGTGACCCCATGGACTGCAGCGCGCCAGGCTTCCTTGTCCATCACCAACTCCCGGAGTTTACTCAAACTCATGTTCATTGAGTCGGTGATGCCATCCAGCCATCTCATCCTCTGTTGTCCCCAATCTCGCCTTCAATCTTTCCCAGCATCAGTGTCTTTTAAAATGAGTCAGTTCTTCGCATCAGGTGGCCAAAGTATTGAAGTTTCAGCTTTAGCATCAGTCCTTCCAGTGAATATTCAGGACTGATTTCCTTTAGGATTGACTAGTTGGTTCTCCTTGCAGTTCAAAGGACTCTCAAGAGTCTTCTCTAACACCACAGTTCAAAAGCATCAATTCTTTGGTGCTCAGCTTTCTCTATAGTCCAACACTTACGTCCATGCATGACTACTGGAAAAACAATAGCCTTGATTAGACGGATCTTTGTTTGCAAAGTATTGTCTCTGCTTTTTAATATGCTGTCTAGTTTGATCATAGATTTTCTTCCAAGGAGTAAGCGTCTTTTAATTTCATGGCTGCAGTCACCATCTGCAGTGATTTTGGAGCCCCCCAAAATAAAGTCTGCCACTGTTTCCACTGTTTCCTCATCTGTTTGCCATGAAGTGATGGAACTGAATGCCATGATCTTAGTTTTCTGAATGTTGAGTTTTTAGCCAACCTGTTCACTCTCCTCTTTCACTTTCATCAAGAGGCTCTTTAGTTCTTCACTTTCTGCCATAAGGGTAGTATCATCTGCCTATCTGAGGTTATTGATATTTCTCCTGACAATCTTGATTCCAGCTTGTGCTTTATCCAGCCTTGCATTTCGCATGATGTACTCTGCATATAAGTTAAATAAGCAGAGTGACAATATACAGCCTTCATGTACTCCTTTCCCAGTTTGGAACCAGTTTGTTGTTCCATTTTGCTTCTTGACCTGCATACAAATTTCTCAGGAGGCAGGTCAGGTGGTCTGGTATTCCCATCTCTTTAAGAATTTTCCATACTTATTGGTAGGCAATAATTTAAAAACATAGTTTAAAAAACACTGCAAAATACTTAATTCCATAT